AAAAGAGATGCCATCTCCGCTGCCCACTCACTCCTCAGAACCAGGGGGATGAACTGCATTTGTAAAAGGCACTGTCTTAGCAATTCTCTGGACATTCAACAATGAGGGGGGAGGGGCTTGGGGCAGGACAGCAGCCAAGATGAGAAGAGAAAGGGTAGACCCCATACATAGCCAGTTAGAGTTGTACCTAAAGCTTTGGGAGCTGGTGGGCCCTCCAACAACCCATTTGCCTTGGGAAACAAGGAGGATGGGGCAGAGCTTTACTGAGCCTCAAGTGGCTCCTCCAGTCCACCTCCAGGCATCCCCAAAAAGAATAGAGCAAATTACACAAGACTCCCTAAAAATGAACACCCCACCCCCCACACACATACACACACACATAAAGTTTGTCTCCTGTGGCATTTAAATTAATCTGGTTGGTCCATAGAAAATAAGTATGTATATTTGGTTTTTCTTATGTACATATATATATAGATTTATTTATAAAACCCACCCCCCACCCCTAAGGTGGGAATAGAAGTGGAAAAGGGGGCCCAGAAAAAATGGAGGGGGTGGAGAGGCATGTCTGGAAAAGAAGGGAGAAGGTCCCTCCCTTTCCTCAAGTTAAGGGGGGCACAGGAGCGCCATTGACAGTCATCTTGCGCCCCCTGCTGGTGGAAGATGGTGTCTGCAGGCAGTTCGAGGTGCCCCCGTTGGTAGCTGTGGTGACCCCACTTGTTGCTGAAGGGGGAGTAGGGGAGGTAGGGTGGGTGGCCGGGGGCCCATGGGAACTGGGAGAACCATGGGAAGGGGTGGCTGGGCTGGGCAGGGAGGAGGAGGTGGCTGGCAGCGTGGCAGGGCTGGGAGCCTTGTCGCTGACTGACTCACACTCGGAGGCCCCACTGGTGTTGGTGCCCTCAGATGGAGTGGGCGCGGTGGGCAAGGTGAGCCGCTTGCAGGCTGGCTGGACCCGATACTTGAGGGGGAGAGGGCCGTTCTGCAGGGAGAGCGAGGCAGGGAAGGGCCGGGTGTCAGGAAAAAGGCCTACCAGGCAGCCACCCAACTTCACCCCATAGTGTCCAAACAGCATGGCAAGGTCCGGGCCTTGGAGAGAAAGATCCGGCAGACTAGGAGGACCTAGGCAAAGTGAGACTGAGCTAGCAAGGCAGGAGTGACAGGGTCACACAAGACCCAGAGAGAGGCAGAGAGAATGTGTAAGACGAGAGACTCGAGAGAAAAAGAAGGGGCGGCTAAAGAGCAGAAAGCAGTATTTACTCCCCCGCAGCCACCAGACCCTCGGAATTTTCTGACCCCAAATCGGAGCACATAATCTGTCCAAGGACCTGTTTCTCCTTCTGAGTGTGGGAGGTCATCGGTGAGGGACGGCCCCAAGGCTGACCCGGTATGGGGGCCACCCTGGACATGGCCAGCTCATGGGATAAGAGATGAACTGGCTGTGATTAGAGCAGGGTGGCCCATGTGGTCACTGGGTCCACAAACCAATGCCAGACCTACAGGGGGGCCCCTCCCAGCCCTGCAACCACCCACCCACCCTGCTCACCCGCCTCCAGGGGTAGATGTAGGCGATATCCATGAGGGTATAGTATTCCTTCAGGGGCTCGTCCTCGTACAGAACCTCCACCTGGAGGAGAGGGAGAACACCATGACCCTGGCCAGGATTAAGGCCCTGGCCATCTGGCAGAGACTCTAAGCTAGCAGTCTTGGGGTTAGGAGGGGGCACAAAGGTGACTTGCAGGTGGTCCCTCGTTACTCTGGGGTTTCATGGTAAATTTGACGTCCATATCAGGGTTGTCCCAGCGTAATGCCTGATCACCAGGTGGGAAGGGATTCAGAGAAGATACCCACATCATTAACAACCCCCTGCCCCCAGCCATCCACACAGCCCTCTGGGTGTCTTTATATCCCTGGCAGGTCCCCCAGAGAAGCTAATGGGCAAAGAAAAAGCCCAGGTGAGAAGGACCTCGTGGAGCACTGGCTCTCACCCAGGCTGCACAGTGGAATCACCCAGGGAGCTTTAAAAATACCAATGCTTGATTCTCACCCCCAGAGATTCTGATTTCATTGGTATGACATGAGTCGAGTTTTAAAGCTCCCCACGTGATTCTGACATGCAGCAAAGTTTGGGTTTCACTGTCCTAGACCACTGATACTCAAAGTGTGCTCTGTGGACCAGTAGCACTGGCAGCACCTGAGAGCTTGCTAGAAATGCAGAATCTACTGAATCAGAATCTGCATTTTAACAAGATCTCTAGGGGATCACAGACACATTCAAGTTTATGAAGCAACGTCCTAGAGCTCTGGTGGAATTTCAGACTAGCCTTGCTTCAGGCAGCTGGCCCCAGGTAAGACCCTGTATTTTTGCATACATACCTCTGCCACAGTTCTGAATGTGCAAGCATGTGTGAGCGCGCACGCGCAGACAGACAGACAGACAGACAGACAGACAGACAGACAGACAGACACACACACACACACACACACACACACACCACCTTGCTCCCATGCACCTCTCTGCACACTGGTTTCAAAAAGGCTGCCCCACCCTAAGCTTGGTTTCAATTGCCCTTCTACTTGGGCTCAATTACACAACCAGGTAGGCCCTTGGTGACACCCAGCCAGCCCTGAACAATGGCTGGGATGCACAGATTGTTGGACACACCCACCCGCACTCCCTTTTCGAAAGGGCCCAGAGACTCACCTTGTACTTGCTGGGCACATCCATCTTGTTTCGGAGAAATTTGGCCAGGTGCATGACGGTCATGGCTGCTGGACATCGCAGGAAGCGCACCCCTGTCTGCTGGGGGAGAGGCACCCAAGGGCTGGGGTCCACCCAGGCACTCTCTCCCAGCCCACACCCCACTCCTGGGCAGGCCCCAGCACTCACCTTCTCTTTATCCCCATCCCCATTCTCCAGGGGGCCCTTCTTCTCCTCCCGGTCCCTGGGGGATGAGAAAGAATGAATCTAGGAAAACCCTGGTGCAGGCAGGACGCCCTAGTGCACACATCCAGAAGGCCCTCCCTCCCAGAGGAATGGGGCCAGGGCGGAAGAAGGGGGTGACACAGCGTAAGACCCCAAAAGGACCAGATGTGGGTCAGACTTGCCTGACAGCTTCATAGAATTCGATGGAGAGGCTGACAATCTCATCGTCGCTCAGAACCCCCTTCTCCTGCTCCAGCACCTCGCCACGGTCTTCGTTGGAGCCATTGGGGACTACAAAAGGAAAGAACGCTGAGGGGTTGGCTTAGGGTGGGGGAAAAAGCCCCAAGGACCCAGGATCTTGGAGCTCAGCGGGGTGAGCCCAGTCATCCTCTGGGCCAGGGAGGAGGCCTGGTCATGCGTGGAGGATGGACAGCCCAGTGCACCCAGCCCTCATGTGTGGGGCAGTGCCACACACTCACATGGTCCCAGGCCTGGGAGCACACACACGTGAACTCACCTTCTGTCAGGGGGTACGCTGCGTAGAAATCCCGCCGCCTTTTCATCTCATCTGGAAGAAGGAAGGAAGCAAGGGTAGAGAGGGGGCGACGGACTGGGAAGTGATGGGTGGCAGGCAAGAGGAAGGGTGTGCAGGTACCTTTAAAAAGCCCAGGGACCAATTTGTAAACGATATCTTGGAGGGTTTTGTCAGATCTGGCAAAAACAAACAAACATACAGGGGCCTGTCAGCAACCACCTTACCCTGATCTCCCCAGCCAGGGACCCCACTTCTCACCTCCTTCCCTTAGATTCAGGGCCCAGCATTGGGGTCCTTGTAGACCTAGTCTTTACCGCTCCAGTATTTCTCAGCTGGATACAAGCCAGAGGTGGGGAATGGGCCTAGGGCTCCTTCCCCAAATGCTACTTCGGCTACAGGAATAAGGAGTGCTGAGGGACAGAGGGGAGCTGACCCAGAGGCCCACAGGGGCAGGACGGGAAGTGCCAGGCCCACCTGATGCTCAACAGCGGCCGGGTTTTATGGACCTGCACATCACACATGGGGCAGTACTTGTTGGTCTCCAGGTAGCGCACGATGCAGGTTTTGCAGACTTGGGGGGTGTGGAGAAAGGGAAGAGAGTCAGAGCCCGCTTTGCAGCCAGGCCCAGCCCCCACACCTCTGCTCAGATTCAGGTATCCCTTCTTCAACGCCCAACATGGTCCTGTTTTGCACAGATGGCAACTACTCCATATCCATCCTTGGGGAAGGGCAGATCGTGTGTGTGTGTGTGTGTGTGTGTGTGTGTGTGTGTGTGAGGTCAGTGTCATCTGTCATGTATAAGATGAGCTCCAAGTCCCAAGCTCCTCTTGTGGAGCACAGAACAACAGCCAGCCTGTCAGACATTTCCCAGGGTCCTTGGCCCATTGCCCCCAAGCCCAGAGGGCACACCAGAGGCACCTGCCTCTTCGTGGGCTGAAATTTCAGCCACTGAGATTTCAGATGACAGTCCCTGGGATGAACTTCTGGGTTAAAGCCTCTGGTCTCCCCTCTCAGGCAGCCTCTCTGTGACCTAGGGACCCCCACCAGATACACAGACAAGTTCACTCTTCCCCAGGCAGCACCCCTCCAACTTGGGCAGAGACCACCCACCCTGAGAAGCAGCCCCTCCACCCAACTCACAGGAATGCAAGCACTCCACGATGGTAGTGGCATCAATGAAGTACCCCCCACAGAGGGCACACATGAGGTGAGGGTTCAGCTCCGTGATTTTGATCCGTGTGGTCCGATGCATGATGCCGGGGAGGGGAGCGGGGGGGCTGGGGAGCGTCACCCTGGGAAGTAAAAGTGGAATCAGAAACCCAGAGATCCAACATCTCTCCCTGAGCCCAAGGCTCTTCTCTGTGCCAAGGCCAGACTGGGTACACGCATGGGCTGGTTCTTTCTGGCCCCCTGTGAGTGCTCACTGGGTGCCAGGGGCTCTGGAAAGTCACACCACCCTGAGAAACAAGGTCAGACTCCACCTCAGGAACAGCAAGAAAGACTGAGGTTAGACCACAGGAAGTGCTACCCAGCTGTCCAAAGGATGTGGGGAGGCAGGAAAATGAACAAGGACAGACTTTTAAGAAATCTCCCTAATCCTGACTCATATTCACTCAAGTGAGTGCTAGGAGCTATGAGGAAACTCAGATAAATAAGCCAGCGCCCGGAACCTCAAGGAAATACAAGGGAAACAATAAATTGTCCCTGCCCCCCTCACCACCTCTATACAAGTTTAAGGCCCCTGACTTGGGTCTTTCTACCCCTTCCTATCCTCCTTTCAACTCATCCACTCCTCCTCCAGGAAGCCTTCCCTGGAAACACTGTGGGCCACAGGCTGCCCTGTTTGAAAGGGGCACCCATCACTTGTCCTCTGGCTCTCCCCCAAGCCCCGATCCTGAAGCAGAAATCTGGAAATCCACTGTATGCTGACCATGTGGGTTCCAGGCCTGATGCTCAGGCAGGAAATACCTCGGATGGTCCTCGGATGCCCAAAGTTGGAACCACGCAGCTCCACCTGTGCCCACGAGCACACCTCCAGGAACTACCCTCCCAATGCATACACAGGAATTTCCCCCACATGGGTACTGCCTCCTACCCACTGTCTTCCAGCTGGTGACACCTCCTCTGCAACCTGTCCACAGGCTGTCCAGCAACAGACCACAGGCTCTCGGAGATGCCTGCCAAAGCTGGGCAGAAAATTTCCTGTACCCAGCCTACCCAAGCACCCAGCCAGGCCATGGCAGGGTCCGGGGAGGTCAGGCAAAGCCCAGCTCTGGATTGGCTGATGTGCTTACTTCTTGGTATAAAAATCAAAGCTGCACACCTAGAAGGGATGGCCCCTCCCTTTTTCCTCCTTCCCAGAGTAGAAGCCCAAGGGGTGGGGCTTGGGAGAGGGGCCAAACCCCAACGGCTCCTTTACAACACACACCCTTCTATCCTTTCCAGAAACATTTCTAAAGCCGCCACATTGGGTTTTCTAGGACCAGAAATTCACAGCCAGGATCAGCAGTTTCTATAGAGACCCCAAGATGAGTTTGGCCAGGACCCAAAGAGCCAACAGAGGCTGGCCAGAGACGGAAAGAGATGGAGAGACACAAAGGCCACACGTGGGAGAGACACCAAGTTGCAGGGCAGACAGAAGGGAACAAGCAAGTAAGCCCAGAGAGGCAGTGGAGACGCAGAGGCCAAGACCTGCAGACCCGGCCAGAGGAAAAAGGTTCCGACCCCACACAGGGTGGCCTTGTTCTGCCTTCCCTGCATGGGTCCCCCTTCACAATTATGTAGCAGGCTTGTTGGCCACTCCACTGTTTGGTCGTTTCCATAGTAACCCCGTCCCTGGCAAGATGCCCAAATATTATTACAGCCATCCAGAGGAGAGAACAAACTCCAAGTGGCCGTCTCACTGAGTGTGTGTAATTGCCATCGGATGTGTACGTGCCGTCTGGGCCTCCAAAGGTACTTCATGTGACTGCTTGTCCCGTGTGTGTCTGTGTCCAAATGAATCTATATGAGTGTACAGCCAGAAACAAAACATTTTTGGGTCTGATAATGTTGGGGGTCCAGGTTGCTATCAGTGAATCTCATACCCCCTTGTTTTTCTCGTCCTCTTCCATACATATGCACACATGTGTGTACACACAAACACATAGCACTCCATGCTGCCTTAACCACCTCATGCACACGCGTGCTGTGTTTTCAGACAGACACTTGCTCTTAAAAACACCAATCTAGTTCTTATGGCCTCAACACCCAGGAGCTCCTGGGCACATGGCTGTGACCCTTCACCCTCTCACTTCCTTGAGCTTTCGTGAGGATTCAGACCCAGGCTATCCCTCAAGCTCCTTTCTAGGCGCCCCGGCGAAGGAAAGCGCTGTGGTGCTTGTTGAAGGAATGAAATGTCCCCCCTTCTCCCCTTTAAGAAATGAGCCCCCTGTGACACCATCCCCAGGGCCTCAGACTATTACCTCTGGGTCTGGGGTGGGGAAAAGCCTTGATTGGTTCCTCACCTGATTGCCATGGTTACCTGCAGGGCCCTGTCAGCAGGTGCCAAGAACTGTAAACAGGAATTCTATTCCCCCAAGCACCCCCTCCCCACATTCCCCCACCAGGAAGCCTCAGGGCCCAATACCTGATACTCAGTTCCTCCCCAGTTGCTAGTAGCTGGTGTGTTGTGGGAAGGAGAGGGAAGAGGGGTGATGGGTAACTGAACTGCCAGCATCACCAACTTAGGGAAGAGGCTGGGAGATGGGAACAGCCTGAGGGAGACCGAGAGGGACAGACAAATCCAAAGAGCAGAAAAAGGAAACGAAGGGCCTTTTGGAAGTGGCTTCTGTGGAGCTCTGGGAGTCCCAACCATATTCCCACAGTGGACCTGAACACCATCTCCCATCCCCATTGCCTTTCCCCAACCAGGGTCCAAGTCCTTCAGGATCTTTTGTCCCCAAATCATTGTCTTTGCAAGGGCACCACAGTTGGGCTGCCCAAGCTCCTGGCCCCTGGGGCCTCTGGTCTCAGCTATAGTGACAGGAAAGGAGCTTGATCAGCACCCAATTCCAGCTCCTCCTTACCATTTAAATCTGGCATCTGTCTTTCTCCATCCTCAAGGTCCCCTACTAATAGAGATCACCCCCATCTTTCCGTTTTAACCAAGCTCTTTCTGGAAGCTCCCCCAAGATTTAGTCCTCTCTCACTGTCAGTGTTTTTCATGTTCCCCTGCAGAAGTAGCCAGTCTCTGATAACCCAGAGGTCCCTCTCCTCCTCTGGATGCCAAGCCACAGGATTCTTTGCTTTTCCATCCCTCCAAATGAAATTGGCCCAACTCCCTCAGTAGAAAACCCCCAGTCTTAGGAAAAGTCACTCAAGGTCACATCTAGAATTGCAGAGGTAGAAGGGATCTTAGACAGCATCTTGTCCAATCTTTTCATTTTTCAGATGAAGAAGCTAAGAAAGACGTGACTTGTCTAAGGTCACTCAGCAATGCTGTGGAAGTCTGAGGACTAGAAGCTGCCTGACTCCCAGTACAGTGCTCTTTACACTGGCACCCAGAGCAGGCTCCCCACTCATCTAAAGAACCAATAAGGACTCCAGGTTCCCTAGACAACCGCTCAGTGAGCCTTCTGGGAGGGGTCAAAGTCTGGACAAAACATGACCATCAGCACACATTCCACCTTGAAGCAGGAAGAGGGAGCAGAGGATAATCGCCTCATCCCACTTCCGAGGTACAGACAGGGAAACTGAGGCTGCACGGAAGCACAGTGAGCCAGGGTGTATTAGCAAGACTCAGACCCTGGGTTCCAAGAGTCCATTCCTCTCCCAACTGGGTGGGTGCGAATGTGCAAGCCCCCCGCACTTGTGTGTGGGGGAATAGGGGACATGGAAGTCTACCTGGGAGCACTGTCAACCTCTCAATCTCCCCTGAACTTTGACCCTGGGACAAGGATGGGCTCTCCCACCAGCAGCACTGCAAAAGGCTTCTAACCTCCTGAGGCAGGGCTCACCCTACCTTCCCTCCCTTTCCCACCTCTCAGCTTCCTAACATCAAACAAAGACAAAAACGAAAAACATAGAGCTACAATGGCCAGATACACACACACACACACACACACACACACACACACACACACACACAGAGCCAGACACACCCCCTCCATCTCTCTCGTACTCACAACACACAAGGCCAGACACCACACACACACAGCCAGACAGATACTTGGCCAGACACACACACAGACACACCCCATCACACATACAGCCAGACCAGAACCAGACCCACATTTGCCAGATGCATAGCCACTCCCACCCACCCCTTCCAGAAGCACAGTCTGACATCCCTGACTGAAATCAAAGCTGCAACACACACTAACCTTTTGTGCATCCCTGGTCCACCCAGTGTAAATTATAACATAAGTCTTCTGGCAACAAAGGCAGTGCAGCTCCCAACCTCACTCTGCAGGCCAGAGGCTGGAGGAGTGGGGTGGGCATCTGACCTGCACAAAGATGTAACCTCTTCCTGTTCAGGCTCTCTATTCCCATGGCAACAGCTCCATCCTCCAAGATCTCTCAGGCAAGGAAGGCCAGGGGCAGCAGAGAGCCCCCTTCCTGCCCACCCCCCAAGACTTCAACTTGAACCCCACCCAGCTACACAGTGTCTGGATCCTGAGTCCCAGGTCTCACCTGGGGTGTTTCCTGCCTCCTTCCAAAGACAGCTCTAAGACTGCAACCTCCAAACCAGGGAACCCCTGGGAAAACCTCCCCACCAAAAAGCTGCAACAGAGCTGGCATTATGCTCCTTTTCCAAGTACTAACACCTTCGAACAGAGTGGAAGGGGGAGGAAGAAGAGAAATTAGAGTTTCAGAAACAAATACAAACTACAAGAGGCCCATAGAAGGAGGCATCGGAGCCGAGTGGGAGACTACCAAGAGACCTCCCCACCCCCAACGACAGGAAACCCTGGAGAGACTGAGGCAGGATGGAGTGGGGGGTGGGAGTAACTCAGAGACAAAGACCAGGGGCAAGCGCCGAGTAATACTTTCACAATATTTACAGGCAAATTCACCACCCCAGGCCTCCTCCAGCCATCCGGAGCAATTCTGGGCAGATGGGGACCTTGGGGGAGGGGGAGAGGCATGCCTGGGCCCACCGTGGAGACAGGAGGGGCAGGGGTGTCCGCATACCGAGGGGTCCCACCCCTTCAGAACTAGCAGCAGGAGGGCCTAGAGAGGGAGGGGGCAGCCCGGCTCCCCGGAGTTAGAGGAGCCAATCAATCAGACCCCTCCTGCCTCCGCTGGCGATGGGAAATATCGCGATAAATCTTCCCCATCTCCATTGTACCCCCTCCGCCCCGGCTCTCCCCGGAGCCTGGGTCAGAGGATCAGGGACCCGTTCCCGGGTGGCTGCTCCTACCTTCTTCCCTACAGCCAAACTTTCGGCGGGGCCCAAGGAGGGGTGTTCCGGAGAAAGAGGCTCTGCTGAGGTGGTTGGGGAGGGGGCGGGGCGCCCAGTCTTGGGATGGGGGGAAAAGGACCGGCTGGGGGAGGTGCCCGAGAGGACCGGGACCCCCGCAGGGAAGAGCGCCCTCCCCCGGCCTCGCGGCGATCAAAAATGCCTCGTCCCCTTCCTCCCGGCCTCAAGTCCTTGCGCGTCCACGACGCCCGGGTGTCCACCGAAGAAGCAGAGAGAGACCCCTCCTCCCTAGACCGAGGGGCGTAGTGGGGTAGAGCCAGGGCTGCTTTGGCTCGTGGGGAGGGGTAAGGGGTCAGAGAGCCAACCCACCACGTAGCCCCAAAGCTCTTGTGACTGCCTCAGACCCTCCCCCTTGCTACCTCGGGAGCAGGTCTAGGAGGGGGCTGCGGCACAAAGAGGTGGTCGAGAAAGACGCCAAATCGTTAAAAGGGGGACTCCACTTCGGCCATCTTGGAAGGGAAAGAAGGGAAAAGGGGAGAGAAAAAAGGGAGAAAGAAAGGCGGACCGGGAGAGCTAGATAGGGGCTGGCGGGGGTGGGGCGCAGACGCGAGCAGCAGGCCCGGCTCCGAGCCTCCCCCTCCCACAGGGGTGTGTAAAGAGGATGCACCGGCCCCCCATCCCGATCCCCAGATGGTTACGGGGTAGGAGGAGGAAAGGAAAGGGCAGTCTGCGTCCGCTTACCTGGGTTCGGGATCCGGTGGGTCTCGGGGAGGGGGGAGTGGGAGGGAG